TTAAAAGTACTTAAGTAACTGCTAAAACTTTTAATTTTGCGAAGTTTAGCTCAGGATAGGAAAGAGTGGAGGTACGTGTCCAATCAGTCATAGGACTGACGACCTGACGATGATGATGATGATGTATAATAATAATTTCGTAAATGTATTTGCTCCAAAATAAAATTATTGAACTTGGTGATTTTTATAATTAATAGATGTAAAGGAAGCCGATGAAATGGAATTGGTATGCCAGATACTTCCGGTAGTTTTTTGTCATGCATACCAAGATATTTTTGTTAATCTCATTTAATCAAATAAAATTTAAAAAAAATAGTGTCTACGTGATAATAATGCTTTCGGTTAAAAAAAATTGGTAATCCAAATTCGTAAGTCATTTTTTTTCTTTTAAATTAACAAATTTGCTATCGAATACAGAAGGTACATTTTTTTAAAATTCGCTATGATGGTTTTTTTTCTTTTTTATTATTTATAAATTATTTTTTTCAATATACTTTCTGCTAAGTAAATTAACGCGTACCAAGACCATTTTGTTCGTATAATTGTCAAATATCAATATTTTTAAAAATTTTACAATTCCGCAATACGGTACTTTCAATGTCACCAACTCCCGGACTAATAGCTTTAAATAAAGTGGTACCTGTTGATAGAAGAGTAAGTATGTATGAAAATTATAAAAGAGTTGAACATTTGCCTTACCATATATCCACGAGACGGTAATGGTTTCAAAGAAAACGGCGAAAAGCATGGAGTATCCAGCGGCGTAACGATCCAGCAAATGAAAAAAATAAAATCCTCCTTGAGAACACGAAGCCAATCCCACCATAAAATACAAAGTGAATAAACAAGCAACGAAAATTTCACGGTGTCTTTTAATTTTCGGAAATTCGTCACTTAGTGCCGTTATTATTGCCTCTGATCCGCCGAACTGTAAAAGAAAATACTTGATCATAAGCAAAATTATATTATATCGACAAAAGGGGCTCAAAAAATTCTGTACATTTTATTAGAAGTTCTTTAAGATAAAATTCATTTTTAATGTTTTTATTAATTGTTAACAAAAATTCCGACATGCACCCAAAGATAATAAAAAAATGTAAAGGGAAAACGTTCATGTAAAATTCTGATTACTTCATAAGACAGCAGAAAGAAAACAGAAGACATCATCGATATATCAAGGGATACTTATTACAAAATTTACAGCAGTATCATAGATGTTCAAATATAAAGAAAAAATACAACGTGTAATTATACAACACGCTACTGAAGTGAAACTTCTTCAAACACACAAACATACCGGGATAGGGGTTAAGGAATTGGTTTAATGGTATTATTTATACACTATTAATTTAAATTTTACACTATACATGCCGCAATCGCCTGTAACGAACGTTACACGGCTCAAGCGATCCCCACTAGGAGACATCCGTTGCATGATTTCGTTACATAGCAACTCGTATGAAACGAACTTACCCTACCGTACGTAAAAAAGTTTCACTTCAAAAATTGGATAGTTATGGTAAAATTTTTTGGCATAGTAACAATNATCTTTTACACATTGTAATAAGAGAAAGAAATGGAATCCATAGTTTCTTTAGCTTTGGGTTCATTTAATAAGTGAAGTTTTTCGAATCGTTTTCTTAGAATTTTGGATTATACGCATTTAATAGCACATCACAATATCTTATAGTTTTCAGTTTCACACAGCTGGCATGTATCAATTAGATATTGTTTTGCGGGTTGTTTAGTCGTAATTCATACAATTTCTTAGATAAGTGGTGATTTGGCAGGTGCTGATATCAATTGGGAATTTCAAAATTCCATGGACCATGGCATTGAACCCAGAAAACAATATCCAATATTTTAGATTATCCATTTCCGAGGAGTTTTTTTGGGCTTTCTTCAGTTAATGAATTAAATGGCATTCATGGAATGTCTCTTTGTCCACTTCTTAATCTTCTAATACCTTCAATGGCCAATTTAAGCAACTTTCCTTCATCATTTTATGTAATGTTTTGTCGGTAATACTAGCAAAACTTTAAACGGCAAAAATGTATTTTGCATTTTACAAATAGAAAATACGTTCGGAAAAATATTTTAAATAAAATACAAGATGTTTTTCTCAAAAAAGTATTTAAGTGTAAGATAAAAATAGGTAAATCACATCTCTGGTTATTACTGTACCAAAACATTAAAACAAACTAAACGAAAACATATAAATAAGGTAATAAAGTTGCAAAAGTTTTAAAACATTATTAAAGAAAAGGTCAAAATACGTGGAAACTTACGGAACTATCGAGTCCTAAGGTTAAAAGCATCATAAAAAAAATGAGGGCCCAAAATTGGCTACCAGGCATCGTAGCAATAGCAGCAGGATACACAACGAAGACTAAACCAGGTCCTTCTGTTGCCACTTGATCTATCGGTACACCGGCAGTTCTGGCCATGTAACCCAAAACGGAAAATATTACGAAACCGGCCACGAAGCTTGTAGCCGAGTTGATAACACTAGTTAAAAGGGCATCCCTTAAATGAAGAAATAAAGATTAGTACCTTTCAACAGTGGTGTTGTGCTGTTTTTTTTTTTACCGGAACGTGTATATATAATTATATAGACAGGGTCGATCCTGGGTAGGCGGCCGCTCTGTGCGGTCGCATGTCCCAAATTTGACGACGCCCATCGCCAGGATCGGCCCTGTATATAGCATAAAAAGGAAAGGAAACGAAAATCATTACGAAACCCATTTTGTGTATATGTATATATATTCTTAGCATTAGCCGCAGGCCCATTTGGGTATGGCAATAAACTATGCCAGGGATGAGTAACGTACGGTCCGTGGGCCGCTTGTATTAAAATTTATGTATGAAATCTTTACTTTTTTAAAATTTTATATTTTTTTCTTCTAATGTTTATTATAAATAAAGTTTAATTCCCGTTGAACCGGTTCAAAAACCGGTTCACGTATTTGTTTCGGTTCGGTTCGAGTTCCGGTTCAGCAGAAAAAAAACGTTCCGGACTCCGGTTCACGGTTCGGAAAAACAAGCCGGTTCGTTCCGGTTTTTGTTCCGGTTCGGGTTCGGTTCAAACCCTTGTTTATAATAATACATATAAAAATTCGTCAAAAATTAGAAAAAAAAATCAGCAATTCTTTTTAATTTTTTTTTCAATACGTCAGCCAATTCTCGTTATCAGAAATCATCTTTAGTTCCGGAACGCGTTCCTGTCCAAAAAGGAAGTACCGGAACGACGTTCCGGAGCGTTCCGGCTCGACAACACCACTGGTTT